CCTCCGTACGAGAAATGAACCCCCTTGCAGTCTCTGCGGCCGCCTTTAAGCATTACGTACGACAGAGTAAGAAGCGGCCAGCTATACAAGTATTCGCCGCAAGCCTTCAAGACATCGAGAAAGCTTTACGCCCAAAGACACTTCTTACAAAAGAAGAAGTAAGGCAGCAACTCCCTACCTACCTGCAGCCGTACGCAGAGCTGTTTACGCCAAAAGAAGGAAAGGAGTTACCTCCTCTAAGAGGCCCAAAAGTAGACCACCAGATTGAACTTATACCTGATAAGGATGGAAAAGCACCAGAAGTCCCGTACGGGCCACTCTATAGTATGTCGAGAGATGAACTCCTTGTGTTAAGAAAGACGTTGTACGAGCTACTTGAGAAGGGATTTATTCGTATGAGTAACTCTCCTGCAGCCTCGCCCGTTCTATTCGTACGAAAACCTGGAGGAGGGCTACGATTCTGCGTCGACTACCGCGCTCTAAACGCGATAAGCCGAAAGGACCGCTACCCTCTCCCGCTCATCCGCGAAACGCTAAACCAAGTCGGACGGGCAAAGTGGTATACGAAGCTCGATGTTACAGCAGCCTTCCACCATATCCGTATTACAGAGGGACAAGAATGGATGACTGCCTTCCGAACGCGCTTTGGTTCGTACGAGTGGCTAGTAACCCCCTTTGGACTCGCGAACGCACCCAGCACGTTCCAAAGATACGTTAACTGGGTACTACAGGACTTCCTAGACGACTTCGCGTCGGCCTACTTAGATGATATTCTTATCTACACGGATGGCTCGCGAGAGCAACACCACGAACACGTACGACGCGTTATAGAGCGTCTCCAAACCGCAGAGCTACAGCTAGAGCTAAAGAAATGCGAATTCGACGTCCAACGTACGAAATATCTCGGGTTTATTCTCCAAGCAGGGGAGGGTGTATCTATGGATCCAGACAAGACGAAAGCAATCCAAGAATGGGAAGCGCCAGTCACTGTACGAGGAGTACGAGGGTTCCTAGGCTTCGCCAACTTCTACCGCAGGTTTATCCCTAACTTTTCTAAGCTCACTGAACCCCTCGTACGCCTAACTAAGAAGGACGAGAAATTTGAATGGGGACCTGAGCAAGAATTAAGCTTTACTACCCTAAAGAAAGCATTCCTCTCAGAGGAAGTCCTAGTTGCATTTGACCCCGACCGTCGTACGATCGTTGAATGCGACTCCTCTGGACGAGCCCTGGGAGCAGTATTGCTCCAGGAAGACGAAAGTAAAGCCTTACGTACGGTTGCTTACCTATCGCGAAAACTACTAGTGCACGAAGCGAACTACCCAATCCACGACAAGGAACTTTTAGCGGTTATCGCCTGCTTAAAGGAATGGGACGCGGAACTCCGTGGCGTACGAGAGTTTGAAGTTATTACTGACCATAAGAACTTAGAATTCTTTACGAAAAAGCAGAAGCTCTCAGAACGTCACGTACGATGGTCTCTTGAACTAGCCCGCTTTCCAAACATGAGACTTCGATATCGACCTGGTAAGGATAATGTGCGAGCAGACGCCTTATCACGACGGGACCAAGACATGCCTAAGGACGCCTTAGACGAACACCACGCTTCAAGAGAGTTCACCATGCTAGTACCCGCGTATACCCCAGACCCGATCCTTGCACTACCCGTACGGCCTGCAGAAACCTCTCTAGTATCACCTACGCTCCCACAACCACCAGACCTCTTAGAATTAATCCAGTCGTCGTGGGACCGTGCCGTACAAGAGGACTTACTCTACCAAGAGATTAAGCTAGCTATACAGGAAGAGAAGCGTTCAATCTCAAGCGCAAAACGAATCGCAGTCTCTCTAGGCGACTGTACGATTAACGATAAGGACCAGCTTTGCTGGCGCGGTAGAGTATGGGTACCTGACTATGAACCACTCCGTACGGGAGTTATTCAAGTAGCTCACCTCTCCCTACTATCGGGACACCCAGGACGAGAAGAAACCTACCGAATTGTCGCGCGCGAATGGTATTGGCCAAACCTAAGTAATGATATCCGCCGTTTCGTACGGAACTGCGACCTATGTCGTAAAAGCACTCCTTGGCGAGATGGGAGATACGGGTACTTACGACCGTTACCCGTGCCTAGTCGTACGTGGCAGCACCTAACTGTAGACTTTATCACAGGGCTACCACCATCCCAAGGAAAGACCAACCTAATGGTAGTAAAGGATCGGCTAGGCAAGGGCGTCGTACTAATCCCTATGGACAAGATTGAAACAATAGACGTCGCCTGGGCCTTCGTACGAGAAGTCTACCGGCACCATAGTTTACCACAGTCAATTACGTCCGACAGAGGCCCTCAGTTCGCGAGCTCCCTCTGGAAGCAGATCTGCCAGCTACTAGGCATCCAGCGCAACCTCTCTACGGCGTACCACCCACAAACGGACGGAACGACTGAACGCGCGAACAGCGACATTGAAGCTACCGTACGAGTCTTCTGTAATCACGACCAAGATAACTGGGCACAACTCTCTCCTCTTCTAGAACTTATGCTTAATTCGCGCACGAATACGTCCACGGGAGTCTCCCCCTTCTTCCTTCACCACGGCTACCACAACACTCCCTTT